TCATTCACGAATGCTGACAGGTTGAGCTGCTCCACAATATTTCCCATGCCAATCAACTCTAGAGCCTGAACATGAGTTTCCAGAGAGGAAACAGTTTCAGAAAATTCCTTAACAGTCAGATGGTAGACTGATCCCTCTGGTCCTGCAGGTAACTCTTACTTGTAACTCTTTTCTTGCAGACACATTGTGCTCTAGGAAGGCAAGAGAATCCACAAGTTTATCCAAACCATCTTTGTAGGGTGAAACATGATGTTGCTCTCTTTGTGCCATGCGGTTCTGAACTTTCTTGGGCAAAAATCCACTTGCATCATATATTTGCCTTATCTTACTCATAAACTTACAAGCAAAACCAACCGTAGCTTGATGTAGCCATTTTGCTTGCCTCCAAAACAACAGAATATAGCAGTGTCACCATCAAAACAAAGACCAGTAGGCTCAGWTAGCTGAGCCTTGTCAGCAGGACCATCAAGACATCCACCAGTACCAGTCCCTATGATTGTATCATGTATAAAACCAGAGTCAGTTTTCTTGAATGTTATCTGATGTGCCTGTACATCTGTCACTCCCAAGGTGCCACTGTTAGACTGACACATCGAACGCTTTCCTAAATCCTTGCACAGGGATGCTAATTGACTTGCTGTCTAAGTCAATTTGTTTGACACAATGTTCATCAGCAACTAATAAAGTGTTGTTATGCATAAAGCAGAGTCCATGTGGTGACTGTAAATCTGCAATGAATTCAATAACCTGACCACTAGTTAATGAATTGTCCAAAGAGATCATGTAAACACTTGTTCCAGCAGTTACAGCAATCAACTTGGTACTGACCACGGCTAGTCCTTCTGGTTTCCAGTGTCTTGGGACATGTTGCAATTTCAATGCTTCAACAAATTTAGAATAATGAAATGTCTCAACACCTCTAATGAATCTAATAGTCGAATTCCCTTTATCGCTGATAAAAGCCACCTCACATTTTTCAGGCTTGATCTGCATCACATCAATCCCAGCTGGGTGACTAAAYGTGGCCTTTGCTGAAGGTACAGTTGTTGTTTGTGATGGACCTAAATGGAGAGATTAAATTAATATGATTATAAGATAATCAATTAATCTTGATTAAAACCCATTAACTTTAAATGCTATTGTTAAATACTCTGTATAAATTATCATACTATTATTATTGTCAATAATGTATACACCAATATGCAGCAATTATGATCTTTTTTGGTCACATTCCAGTATATATAAAATATATCAGAAATAACATGAGTAAAAAAGATCATAATTTCTGCATATTGCTGTATTATACAGTATATTATAGTAATACACAATGATAATTTTGTATAGCTTCACTGATTTGTATGGGAACCAGTCGCTTTATGCATTGCTACATGTAAGCCTGATAGAGAGGTTGTGGGGGTGGGAGGGGCCACAACAAACACAATGAATAACTACAATGTACATGTAGTKGCTATGCAATATATATTTACCTGGCTTATCCCATTGACACAGAGCAATGCACTTGGTAGGTATGTGTCTATTACCCATCCCAACAAATTCATACTCAGCATCTGAATTTAGAATGAATATCAACAATTAATTAACACTTAAATCAATGTTCAATGTTTAAGGAAATAGGATTGAGCTCAAATGTACTGGGCTATAAATTTTTATACTAATTGTTACATACCTGTCCAAAGAATATCTCCATTTGCATTGCTGGCTATATAGAGTGGCCTTCCTAGAATACTATGACTTTTTGCTTCAATAGCAGTCGGCTTGTACTGCTCAGGAACAAGGG